CCTGGAGCTGGGCTGCCGTGAGTCTCCAGCGACCGTGTAGGCTGCAGCCCCTGCTGCAGTGGGCTGCCATAAGCTACCGTGTGTGGCTGGCAGCTGGTGTGAGCTGCCAAGAGCCCCTGTGAGCAGCCGTCCAGACACTGGCAACAGATCTGCCTCACCGGGAAGAGCACAATGATAATACCAACATGGGCCGGTGAAGCAACGTCCTGTACAACTAGACTGAAGAATAAAAGGACAGCAACTTGTCTGTTCCCCTTCCCCTGACTTCCCAGCACTGTTCCCCTCCCCCAATTCCCCAATAAAATCTTTTTTAAAAAAAAGAAAGAAGTGACGGCAATTCCAAGTAGACCATTCAAAACCCACCACAGATTGTACACCTGTGGTGGATTTTCAGTAGTCATCCTGAAACTGCCATCACCTCCTTCCAAGGCGAGCTACATGCTGAATTTTTAACATTCTAATTATCACAAGAACATATGATAGATTAAGAACTGACTCTGGGTGGTGAACACACGTGATATATAGATGATGTGTTACTGAATTGTACACTTGAAACCTATATAACTTTCCTAATCATTGCCACCCCAATAAACTTTAATTAAAATAAATATATATATATATATATATATATATATATATATATATATCCTAGATTGCATTGAGAAGAGCTTGCTGATAAATGTATTAGTACTGCCCAAGTTTTTAAAATATTTTATTTAGGTCACTCAGAAATAGTTTCAAGAAGGTAAAAAAATCATTTCTTGAGTATCTTAGTAATGAAACTGGCCATAATGTTGTCTCTAACTCTGCTTTTTCCTTTTTCTTTTAATTTTTTGAGAAAGTAGAAAACTAGCTAGTAATTTTCCTAGCATAGTGCCTAATACATAATTTAGACAACACACTTTATTATTCAAAGTCTATCTGAATTATGGGGTAAAGTACATGGCTTCAGAAAATCTTACCTGGTGCTTGTTAAGGAAAAGCCTCGGGAAGCTTAGAGGCCAGGCTCTGTCTCCAGCGTCCAGAATCTACTGGATAAATACCTCATTCTTCTAGATTCCAGAATTGAGTATGCAAGCTTAGTAAGGCTAGATCAGCCAGTCTTTTCTGTGCCACAATTCTCCACTTTGAATTAATGAGATTCGTCTCTCAATTGGTAGATATCTTTAAGTTTTTTACTGAAAGTCTAAGTCAGGGGTTTGTTTTCTTTATTTTAAGATTTTATTGGGGAATTGGGGGAGGAGAACAGCGTTAGGAAATTGGGGAAGGGGAACAGACAAGTTGCTGTCCTTTTGTTCTTCAGTCTAGTTGTGGAGGACGTCGCTTCACTAGCCCGTGTTGGTATTATCATTGTGCTCTTCCCGGTTGAGGCCGTCGCTCACCGGCCATTGCGCAGTTGCTCACCGGCCATTGCACGGCCACTCATGGCAGCTCTTAACAACTCACTCCAGCTGCCGGCCAGCCCCACTGCAGCCTACACCGTCGTCTTGTGGCAGCCCAGCTCCAGGTGGAGCTGTTGTTCATCATCTTAGCTGTAGAGGGTGCAGCGTCACTGGCCCTCAATGTGGGATCTGAACCAGGCCCTGCTGCTCAGAACTGGCATCCCAAACCAACTCTTAACCAACACGTCACTCAGCCGGCCCAGGGATTTGTTTTCTGAGCCCTTACACACTAAGAGGTTTGCTATTGCTTTTGCACATGGAAGACCATTTGAGAATAAATGTTCCAAATGAACACTGGTTGATTTTCATTTCATTATAGGTAATACGTTTTCATGGGTGCTTATGGTGATGATTTTCATTTACTTACTTTTTTTAATTACAAAAACAAAAGAAATTCCAATTTAAAAATCTTGGTGATTTTATATTAAAAGCATACAAAGTAGATAGATACTATGTTAGTGAATGAATTAGACCTAAGCTTCTCTGGACTTTGGCAAATAGGGTGATTTTATGGTAATTGAAATGTAAATTGTCATTTCTCAATTCAGCATCTTCAAAAAATTAAAGCTTTTTTTTTTTTTAATTTGAAAAAAGATCGTTTTTCTTAGTCAATCATCGCCCATTTTCATTCATTCCTTCTGGAAAGGCATTGAATGTATTCGAGCTTAGAAGTTGCTAGAAGTGTAATATGGCCACTTGTGAGTGCTGACTATGAAGTTGTCTGATTTTCTGAAGTTGAAATACCACTAAGTGGTATGAAGATGTCATGAAAATGCCTAAAAGCCTACTGTTGATAGAGGAAATATTAAACTTGAGCCATAACAATTAGTAAAGCTAAAATACTAATTTGTTCCAAACTGGCCTATTAGAACATAAAAAGATACACAATCCAAAAGAGCAAGGAGAGAGAACTTTAGACACAAATGAGGTGGCCCATGTTCTCAGTTTAGCTGCATAAATGAACCCTAGTGCATAGCTCAGGCTTTTTCTGAAATGGCCATGTCATCAGCAACATCATGCCAGAAATGGAAAGAAAATAAATTCACATGTGCTACAGTGACCAGGAAACAAAGGGTCGCATCCATAATCCAAGGTAACTTCTCCAAAAAAGACCATCAGAAATAGCAAACTAGTAATACAGATGACTCTAGATTTGGTGGTTCATACTGGTTCATGCTATTAATTGTTTGTGTTGTTGGTTGAATTTTATTTTTGGAGTGTCAAAACACCACAGAACCAAGCTGGAAATAAAAGGAAGATTAGACTAGGGCCTTAGATGTAAGGACAGGATGGGTATTGAGGTAACCACAACAGGGCTGGGCTCGTTCAAGTCATCCTTGTATCGCTTTGTCTCATCATTCATCATTGAAGGTCCACACAGTGTATTACTTTAGTTTACCCAGAGTAGATCTCACCAAACACCTTAAAAAAATACACTTTTTCAAAAGTCAGAGTGCCAGGGAATTAACACATAATTAATGTTCAGGGCTCTAAGCAGGGGTGTCAAACTGGCAGCCCGCGGGCCACATGTGGCCCTCGAGGTAATTTTTTTGTGGCCCGCGATGCTCTGAAATAAAATGAAAATAGAAAAAATTGTTATGAAGAATATAGCGCTTAGGGGAGATCGAGGCAATACCGTACACACAATTCCCTTGTTAACCCTTTAACTACTGAAGACGAGTATACACATGGCCCAGTGCCTTTCCTGGGGGCCTGGGGGTGTGTATAAACGCGCTGACTCAGTTCCGGCGACGTTTGGAAGCGATATTTCTGCCACTCTCAGTGTCACATAATGTAAACAGATCCCAATAGCGAAAAGGTTAAAAAGAGCACTTGGGTAAAAAAGAATAATTTTAGTTTTATAAATACATTAAATAAAATAAATGTTTAAATAAAAGCAATTATATAGTGGTTTAATTATCCTATCCATATTCCTGAATCCTCACTTCAGAATATAAATTTAACAAAATTTGTAAATGTGATGTGGCCCGCGTGAATCTTGCCTGTTGCACCAAATGGCCCGTGTTTTAATTGAGTTTGACACCCCTGCTCTAAGAGAAAGCCCCTTTAGAATTTATATAGATGCCCCTCTCGACAACAGAGGCTTATCTCCTAGATTCTGAGTGCCTTCCGTTGGTCCATGCAGAACAAACAAGGACTAAATTTCAATTTCTCAATTTTGTTTTTCTGACAACTAGAATATGTATTTCACTTGTCATTTCATTGGCTCCTGTTTGGCCTTCAAGTCTTGCTTCATCCACCTTTTCTAAGTCACCTTTTACCTAGTTCCTGCTCCTTCCCAAGGGTCTTTTGGGCCAAGAGAAACTACTTTCTGCTTCCTGCAGTAAGAATATACATCTCTTATCTGGTTCAGCCACAGGCTCTCTGAGCCCAAGTACTTAAACATTAACATTCTTTCCCAGGGTCCTCATCAATATGGCACGGATAGATAGAATTGTCTTCTCAGTGCCTGAGTCCTGGAAACAGTGTGAGAGAGGGCTGATAAATGAGTGTGAGATAATTGGAAAATTGTGAGTTCAGACATTATCAGCTCTATACATTTATCAGTTTTTTTGTCCAGATTTTACATGGGACAGAATGATTCACTCCAAAAACCAAGTACGTACTTCCATTGCTGTATTTTTCTAGTAATGCTTTATTTGAAGACCTGGTTTCTTGCCTCTTGATCATAATTCCAAGCATGCCTAATTAATGCCTGTTCCTTTCCCTGCAGTTGGCTCTGAAAACCCACCGTTAACGGTAATCCGCAAATTTGTGCACCTGTTAGACCAAAGTGACTTGGATTTCCAGGAGGAGCTAGAGGTTGCACGACTGAGGGGAGAAGTGGTGACCAAGATCAGGGGCAATCAACAGCTGGAGAAAGACCTGAACCTGATGGACATCAAGATTGGGCTCCTGGTAAAGAACAGGATCACACTGGAGGTCAGTGGGGCTTGTGGGGCTCTCGGCTCCCAGAAGACAGGAGATGCATGTATATTTGTGCACAGTGTTTCGGTCCAGCTGAGCTCATTTGGAACCCAGAATCAGTGGTCCAGAGTTCACGTACCATTTTGATTACGAAGTTGTGATTCTCAGACTGCAAAATTCTATATCCCCTTTTATGACATTTTGTAAGGCTTCTTTACCATTATGAAATGAAATTTATGTGAAATAACGCCTGCTTACATATGTCCCTTAATAACAAGACTAAGTCCTTTATATAAACATAAAGTAGAAATAGAAAGTAATTTATAATAAAAACACGTATTTCAAAATTAAAATACACGAGCCTGATGCCATTAGAAGATGAGATCAAGTTGCCAGAGGCCAGGCCCTCTTCCCAGAATAAACACAGATGGAGAGAGCTTCAGATGAGACTCATCAAGGAGAGTGGTAGAGCTGCTGGTGATTTCATTTTCCAAAAATGGAGAGAAACTCTTTGTAAAGTTCAGATTACGCAAAGCGTGCTTCCCCCCACCTCCTGGTTTACAGAGAATTGCTGTCCTAGAAAATTAGGTGTAGATTAAAATTGTGGAGGATATGGGTTGTGCTTGTATGTAAAACAATTAGATTCCAGGTTTAAATAATTAAACAAAGAATTTTTATCTACATGAATGAATGACCAGCAGGACATTCAAAACACCAGCCATTCAGGATGTGGGACAGTTATTTACTGAGGGCAGCAGAGCATCCGTCATCCCTCACCCAACACTCACTAGAAGCCAATAGTGCCGTCCAGTCGTTAAGATGCTAAAAGATAATAATGATAACCCCTACACATTTCCAAAATGCCCTCTCCAGAGTAGAACTGCCCCAATAACAGTCTCTAAATAAATAATGCTGTAGGTTTGGATTTGTGTGAAACTTGACAATATCAGATCTCCCTGAAACCATGTAAAAAGTTTAATTTTAATCAAGAAAAGGAGACTTTTCAGGTAGGGCCTCTCTCCATGTCCCTGCTTTGATGCCACAACAGTTTTCAGAAAACTGGTAAGTCCAGGGAGGAAGCTGATGTTCTGGAAGCTCTCAGAAGGCTACAGCGGGTCAGAGGCAGAGCGTCAACTGCCAGCGACTGAAGACATAGTTCTGGAAAACTGGGAGATGAGCAGCCATGGGAGGTGACCAGATGCGTGGACATGTGAATGCCCCACTCTTGTCTTCAACCCTAACAGAGATTGCAGTGAAATAGTTAAAGAGAAAATAAGGAAACTAGAGCAATTTGTAATATAGAAAAATGATCCTTTTTTTCCAATTGTTAAGGAATAAAACTACAATTTAAATGTTCTTCATTTATTTTCATTATTTTATCCAGAAAAGCAACAGTACTTTACTCTTAAAAAAAAAATTTTATTGTTTGACACATATGAAAAGTTTTAAAGTATAATATATTCCAGAAAGTCTGCCAGGAAATGCCTTTTATAGCTTTAAACTGCTGTTTTACTGAATCCCCATAAGGTTGTCAACAGGAAATGCCTTGCCTTTCAAAATAAAGGCTTAAGTTGCAAAACATTAAGTACTATAAATAAGATGTAGATTGTGGAAGTACAATCATGCCAGAGTTTCAGATCATGAATGTTTAAGATTTTTTTAAGAAGTATTCTTAATTGGCAACATTGTGAAACAAAGTTAATTTTTCAACTTACCTTTTAAAACACTAAGTATTTATCAAACACTTATTAGAAGTTAAACTAATGATTATTAAATACATAGCCAGTCTAATCATTGACAGTAGCATTTTTAGTTTGATGATAACAATTATGCAGTTGAAACTTTATTTATAGTAGTGAAAACAACCCAACATAGAAGCAACAGAGGACGATAGAATTAGTTTAACATGTATGTTATGCAGCCCTTAAAAGTGTTTTTGAAGAACATTGAAGGGCAGGGGGTAAGGTTCACAATGTAATTGGGCAGAAAATAGTACCTAAAACAGTACAATTTCATTTATCACACTAAGTATATGTATATACTTTTAAAAAGCTAGAAGAACAAAAAGCTAAGTGATTTTTATTTGGGTGATAGAATGAAACTTATCTTCATCTTTCTTTTTTTTCATGTGTTCTGAGCATGTGTTTAGTGAGAAAAAAAAAGATTTTAAAGGAAAGTAGATTAGTTCTTATAGAACAACTCTAGATCTCTGTAGTAAACCGTGTGTTTTGCAATTCTTTTAAAATTTGCATTCCTCCTAGAAATCTCAAAAAGCCAGGGGTGAATGAAGTGGTTAACAGTGGTTTTAGGTTAACAGTGGTTTTAGGCAAAAGGAATGGTATGGAGATGGAGGAGACAAAGCAACTGAAGTAAAAGCCTCTTACAGGCATAGGGAGGAAGAAAGATATAGACTCCACCTAGCTTGCAGGAAAACTGAAATAGATACTAAAAGTAATCTTGAATCCCTGAAATTCCCATTGATGAGTGTGATGTGTCACCTGAGTGCAGACTTGCAGACCAGGGCTACTTGAATCCCAGGATTTAGATTTATTTTATTGCTTAATTTTACCACTTCACTGCTTATATTATTGGCATGTTTCCTTGAGCATGTTTCTTAACCTCTCTGAGCCTTGTTTCCTTTACTGGAAAATGTACTAAATGCATATATTGTTTTAGTCTTCACAGCAACTCAGTAGGATTACTATTATTAAGCCCATTTTACAGATTTAGGAAAGTGGGCCTTAGAGTCTAACCAGTGCAAAGTCACAAAGCTAATTATGTTTTGCAGATACCCATGTTTTTATGACTCCAAAGCCCACGCCCTTTGTACTAGTCCACATCTTCTACAAAAATGTTTATATTATTGCATGTTACCTACATGCAGATATCCTGTTATCAGGGGAAAGGAAAAGATGGTGGTATTAGGGCAACACTGAGATGTGGGCATATCATACTCGCCCAGTCCTGTCTTCACCAAATGTATTTCTAATGGAAAGGAATTTAGTTCTGCCCCAGAGCTTGCTTACCACCCGCGCCCTCTCTTCTCTTCTCTATATGTGGAGAATCATTGCCCTTAAGATGAAGTCCAGAAAAAAAATCAGTGTTAATGTTTGGTATATTCTTATCTGAAGGCCCTTTGTTCATGACCCTTTAAGCTCCTGAAGAGGATACAGCCTGAGGTGATTCCTGGATGATGTTTGCAGCCACACATTTCCGAGATACCCTGTAAATGGTTAAAGGAGCATGATTGGGGGGAAAGCTTAATTTTGTTAAATATTTAGAGGATTCCTTTCCCTTCCATCTCTAATTAATTTCTGTATTACATATTTTTGCAAGTGCTTTTATAAATTGAAAAGATATAATTCACTTTTTTTTTTAAGATTTTTATTGGGGAATTGAAACAGTGCTGGGGAACGGGAAAAGGATCAGACAAGTTGCTGTCTTTTTGTTCTTCAGTCTAGTTGTGGAGGATGTTGCTTCACTTGCCCAAGTTGGCACCATCATTGCATTCTTCCTGGGCGAGGCAGATCATTCACTGGCTTCTGGATGGCTGCTCACGGCGGCTGCTGGCCGCTCACCTTGGCTGCTAGCTACACACAGTAGCCCATGACAACCCACTGCAGCAGGGGCTGCAGCCTACGCCGTCACCGGCGACTCAAGGCAGCCCAGCTCCAAGTTGAGCTGTTGTTCACCATCTTAGCTGTAAAGGGCAGTGTCACTGGCTCTCATATGTGGGATCCGAACTGGAGCCCTCTGACATCCCAAGGCAGCTCTTAACCAATGCGCCACTCGGCCGGCCCTATAATTCACTTTTAAAATGTACAATTCAGCATTGTTTAAAATTGCATAACCATCACTTCTGTCTAATTCTAAAACATTTTTATCACCCCACAAAGAAACTCCAAAGAAAGTGTTCTGGAATTAGATGGTGGTGATGGTTGCACAACCTTGTAAATATACTAAACACCACTGAACTGTACATTTTAAAAGGATGATTTGTATAGCATGTGAATAATAATTTTTAAAAAAACAAAGAAAGAACACCCCTATTCATTAACAGTCATTACCTATTCCCTGTCCCCCCAGCCACAGCAGCCATTAATCTACTTTCTGTCTCTATATAGATTAGCCTGTTCTGTATATTTCATATTAGTGGAATCACATTATATGTGGTCTATTGTGACCAGCTCTTTAACTTAGCATAGTGTTTTTAAAGTTCACCAATGTTGTAGCATGAATCAATACTTCATTCCTCTTTATTTATGAATAGCATTCCATTGTATGGGTGTATCACATTTTGTTTATCCATTCATCAATTGCTGGACATTTGAGTTGTTTTCTCTTTGGCTATTAGGAATAATTCTGCAGTGAGCATTCATGTACACATTTTTGTGTGCACTTATGTTTTCAGTTCTCTTGGGTATACATCTAAGAGTGTAATTACTAGGCCATATGGGAATTCTGTGTTTGACTTTTAAGGCACTGCCAAAATGTTTTTCTAAGTGGCTGCGCCGTTTTACATTCCTACCAACGTGAAGTTTCCAATTTCTCCACATCCTTAAGAATATTTGTTATGCTTTTTTTGTTATAGCCATCCTAGTTAGTATGAAGTGGTATCACATTGTAGTTTTGATCTGGATTCCCCTAATAACCATTAATATTGAGCTTCATGTGCTTATTAACCATTGGTAAATCTTTGCAAAAATGCCTGTTCACATCTTTTGCCCATTTTGACTGGGTTATTTGTCTTTTTATTTTTGAGATTTAAGAGTTATTTATATATTGTAGATACAAGTCCCTTATTCACTACATGATTTGCAAATATTTTCTCCCATTCTGTGGGTTGTCTTTTTATTTCATTGACAGTGTCCTTTGAAGCACAAAGATTTTAGTTTTTATGAAGTCCAATTTATTTTTTTCTTTTGCCACTAGTACTTTTGGTGTCATATCTAAGAAGCCATTGCCTAATCCAGGGTAACAAAGATTTATACCTAGGTTTTCTTTCAAGAGTTTTATCGTTTTAGCCATTACATTTTAGCTATTTGATATCTTTTGAGTTAGTTTTTACTTATGATGTGAGGTAGGGATCTGATCTCTTTCTTTTGAGTGGCTATCCAGTTGTACCAGCCTCACTCGTTGAAAAGACTATCTTTATTTAATTGTCTTGGTGTCTACATTACAGATTAAGAGCAAATAAGTACAGCTTTGGAGAATGAATATTACAAAAGCCAAATTCACTGGCAAGCTGGATTTCCTTAATTTGTTTAATAATCTCTGTTCCTTTGCTTCTTCTTGAGGGAAATGTATAAAATTACTCTTTCCAACTATGTATGTTTCAGGGTGTATATGAAGGGAGGAGGTAAGGAGTACCAGAGTAAAAGTAATAATTTCATAAAAATTTTTTCCAGGATGTAATTTCACACAGAACGAAGCTAAATAAAAAGAAAGGTGGAGAAATACTAAATAACACCGACAACCAGGGAATCAAAAGTTTGAGTAAGGAGAGGAGAAAAACACTGGAAACATATCAGCAATTGTTTTATCTTTTACAGGTGAGAACAATTTATTTTGCTATGAGTTTTAGATAAATGCTATGTTCTATGCTTGTGGTTTACAATGGATCTATCCCCATGTCAAAACTATTATAGTTTACATGTTTTGAGCACCTGCTAAGTACCAAGTGCTATTCTAGGTTATTTACATACATTATCTCATTTAATTCTTACTATTATAACCCTGGGAACCATCAGAAAATAATTATTATTTTAATTCCACATTACATATCAGAAAACTGAGACACAACCTGTAAATGGTTAAAGCAAGGGTATTGGAACCCAAGAAGTTTGACTTCAGAGCCCATGGTCTTCATGACTATGTTATACTACAGTTATCTGCAGAAATGTTATAGATCTAATAACATAAGCAGGTACAATCAACCTAGAAAAAAATTAACTATGTGAAAAATAAATGTTTAACGGAATCAGCTTGTTCTTCTTTTGTGGGAAGAGCCAGAGGGTTTAGATTAGGGTAATAGGGTATCTTTTTTATTTCATCATTTTCATGGCATTATTCTGACCTAAATGAGCAGTAATTTTCCAATGCTTCCAGAGTACAGGTGAGAACGAATAAGTTGAACTAGTTATGGTTGGACTGTGGTGGACCAGGTACTGTTTTGTCTGACCATTGATTTACCTGACCCATCCTACCACACAGTCCTAAAGGAAGCTGAGTAAGTGACAGTGATGGACATAAAGTTCCCTTCAGTAGGAAAACTTTCCCAACAGAGGTAGATAAGCAGTTCTTCCTTGAGAGTCAGGTGTCCCTATGTGTGGGGCCACTGCTGTTGGTGGTGACACTTGAATCTGTGCTTGAGGATGTCACTGGCATTAGGTGTACAAGAACACATGAGCCAAGCCATGAATGAAGTGTGTCTAGCCTCACTGAGAGAAGAACTGTTAATTTTGGTAGAGTTGAGAATTCTCTATTTGGAATAATACAATAGATTGGCAGACAGGTGTAGTGCCATAGAGGGCCACCATGTGGCAGCATAAAAGGAAAAATTGCTTAACACCAGCAACCTTTCCAGAAAGAAAGGGGGCTCACACTAGGCAGGGAAGGGTTTTTTGTCTGCCTAAATTAGATTAATAGTTATCCACCAGTTCGAAATTTGGTCTTAGGAATTTATCATTTTTGGCATCCATGAACTTCCAAGTGTATGACGCTTCTATTATAGAATTTGTGTCATAAAGAAAGTAAAAATTGATAGTCATTGGCCTAAGATTTGTATTGTTTACCCTGTTATATAAGCAGAGGCTCATTCATGGAAAGGAGAAAAAGCACAGGAGTTTATTTAGAATAATCCCATCAAGCTTTATTCCCTAAACAATCCAAAACCGATAGTCCCAGGACACTGCCATTCAGTTGTATCAAGCAAAGTGTCCCTTGTAATCTCGTGTTTTTCTTCCCCTTTTCTTCTCTCTCCTTTGGAGACTTTAGTCCAAGATCAGTGAAGAAACTATAGAATAGTGAATAGTTGGGATTCCTTTGGCCTTTGAATTAACAAAGTAGCCAATCAGCTAGTATAGGTTTTGCTCTGGGTTTGTCTCTTCAGTATGAGCCTAAATTTAATGTTTTTAGGTCATCTGAGAAGAATGAGGTGGGGGCTTCTTTAGCTTTAGAGTAAGTTTTCTTTCTTATAACCCCATGTGCTTAGTGTGGGAAAAGCATCGCTACAGAGCTATAAAGAAAAAGTTTTCCTGAGCTGCCGATTCATAAAATTTCAACTGATCGTTATAAACTTGAAGGTAAATCTAACTAGTAGAGTAAACTAGAATTTGGATTTTCTTTAAAAAACTAAAGCCAAACTACTTGAGTAGAGTTATCCTTTGATGTCCATGGGGGATTGATTCCCGGACCCAAGGACACCAGTATTCACAGATGCTCAAGTCCTTTATATAAAATGGGATAATGTTTGCATATAACCTATACACATCCTCCTGTATGCTTTTTTTTTTTTTTTTGCTGAGCCATCCTGCCACCTGTTGGCAGCTCAGCGGCAGCTCAGCTTGGGCCGGGACTTGAACCGCTGTTGCTCAAAGCTCACACTCTTAAGCGAGCTGTTAACTAACTGAGCCACTCAGCTGGCCCCTCCTGTATACTTTAAATCATCTCTAGATTACTTTTAATACCTAATACAATGTAAATAGTTGTTATACTATAGTGTTTAGGGAATAATGACAAGGAAAAAAGTCTGTACCCATTCAGAATTGATGTAGCCATCATAGGCCTAATTATTGATTGGGTTGTCGGAAAACTCATGACGTTTTTTTTGTTTGTTTTTCATTGCAAAAATGTGTCATGACTTTTTCGACAACCCAATACATAGTACATGTCAGCAACAACATAACTTTTCTTTCCAAATAGTTTTTTATCTGTGGTTGGTTGAAGCCACAAATGTGAACCCGAGGATTCAAGGAGCCAACTGCATATTACATGAATATTAGTTTCATGTATGGAAAATTTTCTTTTTTCATCACAATGGAGATGAAGAGTGGGAGTATAAAATTAATTTCTCTATAACCTAAATACCATTTTTTCTCTGCTAACCTCCATCCGGTTGCTGTAGCTACTAGAGAAAAACCATATCACTATGAGGACTGGTTCCACATCTCATGGACTCCACCCTCACTCAGCTAGACCCTCGGGGCTCTATTTCAGTTTTTTTTAAAATTCTTGTCAATTTTTAAGTTGTCTTTTTTTTTTCTTGTCAGTTTCTTCTGGCATTTTGCCCATCAACCATCCTGACCTTCACCTCTCCCTTTAGCCTCCCTACCTCACCCCTACATTCTCACTCCTTGTAAACAATCATGGCCATTCCACTGTTGCCACGTGTAAATATATCCTTTTCTTTTGCTTTCTAGTCTCAGATTATGGGATGTGTTTCTTTCTATTCATTCATCAGTCCACCCAGGACAGTCTATTTAGCTGAGCCCTTGGTCTGTATCTGCCAGTCTCTTCAGATACCAGATTCTATTGTCTGTCACCTCTCTTTTCTTTATCTCTACAATGAATATTGATATGTGGCTCAAAATGGTTAGCAGTGTAAAGTGTATATAATACAATTATGTTTCATTAAATATATATCACACAGTATATATAGTTAAATCCTATTGTAACTTTCTAATGTAACTCTCTATAGTATAGTATTAATGTTAGCTGATACCTTTTAAAGTCTTATTTTGTGCCAGATACTCTTCTGTATGCTGTTTACATATTAAGTCATTGAAGAGCAGGGAACTGGGTACCCCTCTGACTTAATAATATATTAAGTTTTGTGGATTTTTTTTCCTTCCTCTTTCATTTTAGACCAATCCGTTATACCTCGCTAAGCTGATTTTCCAGATGCCACAGAACAAGTCTACTAAATTTATGGATACTGTTATTTTCACACTATACAATTATGCTTCCAATCAGCGGGAAGAATATCTACTCCTCAAGCTTTTTAAAACGGCTCTGGAGGAAGAAATAAAGTACGTATGTAAATATATATGTAAAAATACCAATGAACAGATTCTTTCATTAGTAGTGGCTATCTCTGATTTACTAAAATAATTTAAAATGATTCTTATAAGTCATTTATACTATTGAAATATGTCAAATTTCTTGAGAAATTTCTACATCATTATAGATATATTCAGGTACGACTTTCTCCCACCAGTGAGACATTTTCTAGTGCTAAGCTAACTTTCGATTTTTCAGCTGTACAACAACCAAAAATCAAGAGCTTTTTGAAAGTCAGTGAGCAATTTTAACTTAATGAAAATTCTGTGAGTAATAACACCATAAATGGATGAAAATAAGGGTCTCTGCTAAAGAGTCTTCCCTTCTTACTGGAACTTAAGCTTATTTTTGCTAATTTATTTTCTGACTCAGTTAATGTATAAAAAAAGAAAAAATGTGTAGGTAGCTAGGCCAGAAAAAAATACGTGAAAAATGCCCTTAGCCAACTAATGGACCTTAACTGCCTTCCTGACTTCTTGATAACTGAACCTATGCTAGTTCCTATGGGTCTGAAGCATATTAGCCAGGCACCTCTGCCCTCGGGGTGTCTGTAAGCCAGCATGAGAGGTAGGATTCATGAGAAATAGTAATGCTGTGCAGTGGAATAAGGTAAGAACTAAATAAATGATATGCTGTGTTAAACAGATCAGAGGGATGGAAAGAAAAGTTCCAATGAGATAAATTGATAAATATTTTAAGGAGAAGGAGGTGGTTGGCCCAAAACCTTGAAGAATATCTACAGGTTTATAAGAAGAAATGGAAAGTGGAAATAAGGCACAATGGTGATAGAAATAGCGTGGGCCAAGGTACAAGGAAAATAAATAGATTAGTCTAACCAAGATGTGACTTAATTAGTGGCCACCAGGAAATGAAGCTGGAAAGATAGATTGGGCCACACCATGAAAGACCTGAGGACAGGCCCAAGTGCTGAGGCTTCTTACTTTCCGGGAAGCTGTGAAGGTTTTTAAGAAGAATATACTGACATAGCCACATTGGGTTTTTGGAAGATCGATCTGCTGGCTGTGTATGAACAGGATGAGCTAGAGCTACAAAGGTCAAAGAAATGGGGGAGTGAGAAGGAAAAAAAATAGTTTGGATTTTTAACACACTAAGTAGAACATCTGGGGGAAAATGTCCAGCAGAAAACTGGAAATTCAAAACTAATTCCCAGGAAGGAAATGGGGATTAGACATTGAGATCAGTTCCAGAGAGATGGTAATTGAAGTCGTGCATGTGAGTGAGGGCTGAGGGGAGAGCAGGTAGAAAGTGAAAGAAAGCAGAATTAGAATGTAGGAGGAGGAGACAGCAAAAGAAACAAAAGGAATTAGGTAAGGTAAGGACCAGAATGTGGCACTCCCAGACCCTAAAGGGAAAGCAGGTGAAGGGTGAGAGTTTGCACAGAGGTGAAAGAAGAGACAGGGAAGGTCAGAGAGGTGGGAAATGGAAGTCAAGAAGCTCTCTCCACCATGTGATATAGTGAGAAGCCACATTGCATAGAATTGGAATGGGACTGGAAGAAGTGGAGATAGTTCGTTCAATCAAGGAAGTTATTTTTGAAATGTGGTAACTAGAGAGGGCACAATACTTGTACAGTCTCACCCAGTATTATTAGCCTCGGTCCATTTTCAGTTCATTCCTGACCTCTAGATTGAAATTAAGGCTGAGAACTTATTTTCAAATCCTTAAATTTCTCAAATACGAAACCCTCATCTTACCAATGATAGCTTCCTTTTAAATCACACTATCTTTGATCTTCAATGGAGAAAACTATAGCCCCACAATGCTCTTCCCTGCCAGAGAGAATATATATCCTGTTTCAAACTGTATCTATAGAGGCAAACCATTTTGTTTTGGCTTGGGCTTTTTTCAGATCAAAGGTGGACCAGGTACAGGACATCGTTACGGGAAATCCTACAGTCATCAAGATGGTCGTCAGCTTCAACAGAGGTGCCCGTGGACAGAACACGTTGCGCCAGCTCCTGGCTCCAGTGGTGAGAGAGATCATCGATGACAAGTCCCTGATCATCAACACAAGCCCCGTAGATGTGTACAAGGCTTGGGTGAACCAGCTGGAAACACAGACTGGAGAAGCCAGGTAACAAAACCAGGAAGATACTGGTTTTCAATTATATCTTATGATCATTTGTACATGTGTGTGAGTGTGTGTGTGTGTATATATATATATATATATATATATATATATATATGTTCTTAAACTCTTTTAAGCTCTGTTAAAACAAAAGAACAAAATTTACTGTAAAACGTCTGTTTTCAATTCAAGATATTCACTCCCTTTAACATATCGTGCAGGTCACGTTTTTGGACTCTTGCTCATCTCGATGGTACATGATATTGTCACATTTCAGTACCAGCTGATCCCCAAAGCCACAACTTCTATAATTCTCTCCTTTGATTATTCTTTGTTTCTAAATCGAGACCTAGAAATGGGGCACACTTTCTGTTCGCCTGACAATACACACTTTTTTACACTAACCGAGTGAGTAAATAACATGTGAGCATCAACAAGCCAGGTGGGATTGGCTTGTTCTGGGTGGTGATTTGTAGATCCTAGCAATCCCAGCTTTTTATTTCCTGCAAAAGGATACCTTGTAAAATCATTAAGAAATGCACAGAGAGTGGCCAGCCGAGTGTCTCAGTTGGTTAAGAGTGTGAGCTCTGAGCAGCAGGGTTGCCAGTTCAATTACCACATGGGCCAGCTGAGCTGCCGCTGAGCTGCCAATAGGTGGCAGGATGGCTCAGCTGGTGAGAGCACTTGCTCCTAACAACAAGGTTGCCTGTTCGACTCCCACGTGGGATGGTGGACTATGCCCACCCACAACTAAGATTGAACACGGCACCTTGAGCTGAGTGGCCGGATCTGCCATCGGGCAGCTGGATGGTGACTGGACTTGGAGCTGAGCTAGCTGCGCCCTCCACAACGAAGATTGAAAGACAACTTGGCTTTTCCACTTCCCCAATTCCCCAATAAAATCTTAAAAAAAAAAAAAAGAAAGAAAGACAGAAAAGAAATGCACAGAGATTTTCATAAATGGTTGTCACAACACTGTTTGTAATAGCAAAAGTGGGAGTAAGTCAAAATATTTAGCTTTGGGGAATTTGGTTTTTTTGTTGTTGTTTTTATTGGGGAATTGCGGTGTGAGGTCCATATACATACATGATAGAGGACCCAGAAAATTATGGAGTAAGATATGAAAAGGGGTTGTCTATGAATTAGTTTTTGTTTTTCGGGGGTTTTTTTTAAAGATTTTATTGGGGAATTGGGGGAGGGGGAAAGCGCTGGGGAATCGGGGAAGGGGAACAGACAAGTTGCTGTCCTTTCGTTCTTCAGTCTAGTTGTGGAGGACATCGCTTCACTGGTCCATGTTGGTATTATTGTTGCACTCTTCCTGGGTGAGGCAGTCACTCACCGGCCATTGGATGGCCACTCACGGTGGCTTACAGCTGCTCATGGCAGCTCACAAAAGCTGACGCCTGCTGCTGGCCAGCCCCACTGCAGCCTACACCGTTGCCAGCGACTCACAGCAGCCCAGCTCCAGGTCAAGCTGTTGTTCACCATCTTAGCTGTAGAGGGCACAGTGTCACTGGCCCTCATGTGGGATCCTAACTGGGGCCCTGCTGCTCAGATCTAGTGTCCCAAGCCAACTCCTAACCAACGTGCCACTCGGCCGGCCCTGAATTAGTATTTTTTTCTTGTTTACACGTATGCAGTTTTTTTCTGTAAAGAACATACTGCTCTATAATTTTTTTTAAAGGAAAGAGAAAGTTAGCTGGGTCTGTGTTACCTGAGTTTGCCAGTTATTTTACCAGAAGAGCTCAGAGGGAGAGCCTGGAGTCCCCCCACTGTACTAGTGGCAGAGGGTACCGTCTGGGCATGTGAGGGCTCCCCTCACTTAGCTAACATTTTGTCATTGGAGTCAGTGGGCAAAGTCCAGTTCACTATACAAAGCTTGACTGTAGAACCAACTTGGCAAGGATACAAACACTTGTACCTAAGCTTCATTAATTGAAAGCCCTCGTTGTCTTTTCAGCAATCTGCCTTATGATGTGACCACAGAACAAGCTCTGACATACCCAGAAGTGAAAAATAAACTGGAGGCATCCAATGAGAACCTGAGAAGGGTCACCAACAAAGTCTTGAATTCTATCATTTCTTCCCTTGATCTACTGCCGTAAGTTGTATATGTATCATAGCAACTTTAACATTCTTTGCTGGAAGTTCTTAAAATACTAACTAAAATAAACCTTGGTACTGAAGATAGGGGTTTTTCTTTCATATTGTGTTTACTATTTTGAATGTTTGCCTACATTTGCATTTTAAATTCATAATTATTCTCCAAGGAGGGAATGATACAAACCAGTACTCGGTTACTATAATCCATGGAAGTCCTGTGATTCCATTACCATCTCATTTTATGTTTAATTTTTAGGAAAATGCTGAGAGCTCTAGTTGACTGGAACAATTGCTGTGTGTTTCTTCCTCACTTAGCCTTTTTCCATTATTTTCTTTTGTCATCTGTTTTACATGTAGTTATGGATTGAGGTATATAGCCAAAGTACTGAAGAATTCCATCCATGAGAAATTTCCCGATGCAACAGAAGATGAGCTATTAAAGGTAGATTTTCAAGAGTAATCTCACCATAGCTTCTCTTGGGGGTATGAGCCAAAATTATCAACACATCACTTTGTAATATTTTTCCCCTTGTCTGACTATTTATATAAGCTCAGGTCTTCTATTTCTAATGGCTATCCTGATTATTGAGTATGCTGAGGTTAACCTGGAGATCTCACACATTATTGCGATGCTTTATGTTAGAGCATTTGGGGGGGAAATAGCCTATTTTTCACCCAAAATAATTGTTTAACTATATGAGTAATGTGTGATTATATTCACTACCTTTATTTAACTCATTAGAATTCAAATCACAAAATAATTTGCTTTCTTGGGAAATGTCAACTAATATTTCCTGTTATTAAAAAAAAAAAACACCCAAACCCTTGAATTTTCTCTCTTAAAAATAGTCTTTTCTTCTGCATCATTCCAGATTGTTGGAAACCTCCTGTACTATCGGTACATGAACCCAGCGATCGTAGCTCCAGACGGCTTTGATATCATCGACATGACAGCCGGAGGTCAGATAAATTCTGACCAGCGGAGAAACTTGGGGTCGGTAGCCAAGGTCCTTCAACATGCAGCCTCCAATAAGCTGTTCGAAGGAGAAAATGAGCATCTCTCATCTATGAACAATTATTTATCAGAGACGTATCAGAAGTTCAGGTGAGAGGGGGTCATTACTTTTTGGAGAAGTTTGCAAGAGGGTAGAGAAGAATCTTGTGTTCTGCGCCCAACGCTGGAGTTGGAGCGGGGAGGAATGTCAGGTGGCTGCGTGTATTTCTTCTACATACCAGCAGGCATTGTGGGGAAAGAGGAGGGTGGAATGAGCAGGCGGGGTTACTTCTACTGGCGTTCCCCATCCCACCCTCAGCCCCAGTGCCCTGTGACCTTGAATCGTCCCCATATGTATGATTTCTGCTGTCGACAAAATGAAATACAGTAAAACCTTGGATTGCGAGTAATTTGGTTGGCAAGTGTTCTGCAAGACGAGCAAACATTTCTGATACATTTTGGTAAACAAGCGATGTCTTGCAATACAAGTAGTTTGTTTCCAGAACGAATTATGCTCACAATCCAAGATATTACTGTATTTATTCTTGTTGTATGTTAACAGGCTTATAGTAAGTAGAATTTAAAAAATCAAAATAACGGATTTCTGCTTTGTAGAAACTTAAGAAGAGGGTTTTGTCCTTTTTTCAAGAACTTGTCCAAACAGGAAAATCTTACCTCATCTACACCAAACAATAGTCGGAAACTGAGTATTTGGTTTTGAAAGACTGGGAAAATCCAGCTTTTATATTTGTTGAGGATTGTATGTGTTCTATTCTCAAACTGTTCCTAATTATTCATGTGAGACATGTCTTTTGACTCTAAATGCATTTGCAAAGCATATCACTAATCATTTCAGGGGGACGTGAAAGGAGTGAGTCCTGCAGAAATATTCACTCACCTAAAGCTCTCTGAGGAAGTACGTTCATCTTGGCATTCATTTTTTTCTCCTGTCTGCCATTTAGTCAGTAGGTCATAAAAGTGTGACATAAATGTGGCCTCTTTCACTCCTCACTTGGAAAATGATAATTTCTCAATTCCTTGGTTTTCCTCTGGATTAGTGACTTATCTAGTGGCAATGATAGTTCATGATTATTAATCTCTATTTGGAATGTATGACCTCTTGTGAAAAAAATTCCCTAAATCCTCCTCCTATAGGAAGTTGCAATTTCGCAAGCTGCTAGTTTTAGGTCTTCTCACTGACGAAAAAAGTAATATCCATTTCCCTGTAAACCTTTATCTGCTATTACAGTTTCCCTTTACTTCTTTTTTTTCTCACATTATTCCTATCAACGATCTGTGTTCCCAACTCTTCTTCATTTAAAAAGAAATAGGGTCGGCTGAGTGGCTCAGTTGGTTAAGAGCTCGCTCAAGAGTGTGAGCTCTGAGCAACAGCGGTTCGAGTCAGCCCGAGCTGAGCAGCCGCTGAGCTGCCAACAGGTGGCAGGATGGCTCAGCTAAAAAAAAATAAAAATAAAAATAAATAAAAATAAATAAAAAGAAACAAAACCAACAGCCTCTCCTCACCTCTTAAATTCATTTTTTCTCTTCCACTCATATTTATCCTTTATAATATCTCAGCAACTCATGAAAAATTATAACCAAAAAAGTGCAGAAGACCAATTGTCACATGGAAACATGCTCCCCCCCACCCCCACCCCAGCATGACTGCCTGCCATTTAACCTCCAGCCTTGGGGTGGAAAGGTAGAGGTCATTTCTGGTGTATAAGCCTTGGGTACCCTTAGGAGATATATACCAAGGATGATTTGCAGCATATGAAACATTTAGAACTTTATAGAATATAATACCTATTCTACCTGTGCAAAGGATCACTCCAAAGCTGTGATCGTAGCACAGCTGGCTTTCTTGGTCTCTCTGTCTAAATTTGCTGGAGCTTAGAATAGCAGACTTTTTAGAGTCTGAGTACTGGGCATTGTACACAGTTATGTGTCTATCCTTAACAGCCTTCCCATCAGCCAGCAATGGTTGTTTAGATCAGCTAAGTGGAGTAGGCTTAACTCGAATTTTTGTCAAATTGGTTAACAGAGTCTCTGAAGAATTGTTGGGTATTGAAGGCCCAAGAGCTTGTGCCATTTAAAGTAGAGAATTTGATTGTTTTTTGGATTGTTTTCTCTAGAAAGTCTTGATTCTCAGATCAAGGAACATCAACCTTGACATTTTAGGTTAAATTTCAGGGTCCATTTTTTAAATAATATTTTTTAAATGACCTGCCTATAATTCGATTATACTGAATCACAAACAGGGCCCTTCCTGCTCTCTCCTTTCCTTTCTGAGGGGCTGGGTCCAACATCTAGAAACCTAGACTCAGCTTCCACAGGTAAGAGCCAGCCTAAATGATGCTATAATAAGTCCTCCCAAGGTTTGGGGTAGAAAACAAAGAACTAGCCATCAGTCAAGATTTTCTCACCTTTTATGAAGCTGTTTCACTTACACATACGACTGTCTTAAGACTTTTTTGTTGTTGTTGTTGTTAGGAAATATTTCAAAGAAGCATGTGATGTCCCTGAGCCAGAAGAAAAGTTTAATATGGATAAATACACAGATGTGGTGACAGTCAGCAAACCAGTCATTTATATTTCAATTGAAGAAATCATCAGCACACATTCAGTAAGTGGGGTTGGAGGAGCGTCTCAGCAGTGGGTCCATTGTTCAGACATCTGTTTCTCGAAAATGCTTAGTCTCTCTGCAGCGTTTACTGTAAGCATGTGCTAATACTCATATTCTTAATCCTAAGAAACGTTAGTGTATTTATTTCCTGACTCTTGTGCATTAGTAAAATTCCTTCTCCAAAACAAGAAAAGTTTACTTTTTCCATGATCCTTTGGCAAAGTCAGATTGTGAGAGTGTAGTTGAAGCCAAGAGCAGGGGCAGGCCATGGTATTTTCCCCAACCATCAAGGCCACACTGCCTGAATCCCCATACTCTATCTCTCTCCCTTTCAGGAATCCTCTCAGCTTTTCCAGTAATTTTCTGTAAAAATGAGAATGTTTTCTCTATTCTAATATTTGGACATAAAGAGAGAGGAAATAAACAGGCTGCTCAAGGTTAAGGAAGAGAAGACACCCCCACCCAGCAATAGCCGCCTACAAAGAATCACTTGTATTGTCCCAGAAACCCCCATTTCTTAGAAGCAGTCAGTTTCAGTCTGTGCTAATGTTGTAATGTCTCAAACTGGTTCTCGTACCAACATTACCACCATGAGCCAGGAGCATGTATTGAGTGCCTTTTGGGGGCAAGGCAGTTTGTTAAAAGGAAGTAAAGGAAGTAAAAAGGAAGGCTAAGCATTGAGAGGGTTTTTGATTGCCTTTTAAAAACCAGTTGGAACTTATTTCCTGAAAAATCTAGGTTCTTAAAAGGTAACCTTTTCAAGAATAGTTTTGGACCTTGCTATTCCAAGCCAAGTCCTGGAGATGTGTTCAAAATGTACCCAGAACCTGCATTCTAACAAGATCCCAGGCGATTCAGATACACACTACAGGTCAAGAAGCCCTGGTTACGGATGCACCCAACTCGGATGATACAACTAGGAGGAAAGCATAGCAAATCCACTCTTCTCAAAGGTCCTGCTCCTGTTCCCATCAAACAAGATATACTAACAAATGGCATCACTGACTGCTCAAAATTTCAGTGTTTATTATTCATCTCTTTTAAGAAACTAAAGCTGGACTACAAGTTTGGAAGAAAGATTGGATCTACTTTTGGTTTCCCTCTTTCAGTCTTGGAACAGGGAACTCCCTGACATTTGCAACAAGCTCTCCAGAAGTATTGGGAGTGACCCCAAACAAAGACAGGTCTGAATGTCCAGCTGGAGAAGAGAGCTGGTTGATTACACAAAGAGGCTATACTTCTTTTCTCTGTACAGAAACACCCCAAATCACAAAGAAAACATGTTCAGCAGTGCATCGTTAACAAAAATAATTTTCTAAGGGGCAAGTGGATGCACTCCTATTTGAGTTGCGACCCCTTTATCTATTTCTATGGTAGATTATCCGTGTCAAAGAAAATGTCCACATGTTGGCCGCACATTTGCTGAGGGCAAGACCCTCATGCAGAAAAAGTGCTGGGAAGTTCTCTTTTACAACGAGAGTTTCTTTCCCAAGGACAGCAGAGAGAAAATGTTATTGTATTAATTTAGACTGTTACTCTTTAAGGAGAAATAGTCTGTTCCTTTTGTTAACAAAAATTGAAAACAGAATCCAATCCTGGGAAATAGCGTGTGACTGATTTGGAATTGCTTCATGTGTTAGGTTGGAAGCAGATGTAATAGTGTGGGAGTATTGGAATTGCAAAGACTGTCCTGTTTACTGTCTGTCTCAAGTGAGGAGGTGTCCACATGCAGACATAAGCACAGCAGCAGCACGACATGCCAAGTCTGTGGCCACATGCCCGCCCCGGTTCTCTAAGGAATATGTAGAACCTCAAAATAAGCTCTTTAATGAGACCTTTTCAGCCAGTTTTTATATTCTATAATTATTAGAATAAAGGGTAAAAGCTGGCCATCCCTTTCCAGGGACAGGGGCCAAATCTCTGCAGAGGACAAGGTCATAAATGTATCCATCTTGCTTATTTTATTCTTGTCTATAACGTACCTTCCCCAAAAAATATCCTATGTACAATCCATCCAGATTTCAATATGTTGTCTATATATCACCTCTATTATTTATATCATGTCTTTCTTTAAATCAGCTCACCTTTCAAAGAAAAAGAAAAGTATATATCTTTGCTTTAAAACAAAATGCCTCTGACCATAGTGAAAAAACGAGCATGCCTTGTAATAAACAGAAACTTTAAAAGTAAATAAGTAGGG